ATACAATCAACTATGTTTTTGTCCCCTGTTTTGTGTTCCTATTGTTGGACATAACCATTGTTGGTCTTGTTCTTGTTGTTGGACATAACCATTGTTCGTCTTGTTCTTGTTGTTGGACATAACCATTGTTGGTCTTGTTCTTGTTGTTGAACATAACCATTGTTCGTCTTGTTCTTGTTGTTGGACATAACCATTGTTGGTCTTGTTCTTGTTGTTGAACATAACCATTGTTCGTCTTGTTCTTGTTGTTGGACATAACCATCGCTGGAAGGCTTGTTCTTGTTGCTGGACATAACCATTGTTGGTCTTGTTCTTGTTGGACATAACCATTGTTCGTCTTGTTCTTGTTGTTCGACACCGCCATCATTGGGCTTGTTCTTGTTATGAACTTACTAACCATTGTTGGTCTTGTTCTTGTTGTTGAACATAACCATTGTTCGTCTTGTTCTTGTTGTTCGGCACCAACCATCATTGATCTTGTTCTTGTTGTTGGACATAACCATTGTTCGTCTTGTTCTTGTTGTTGGACATAACCATTGTTGGTCTTGTTCTTGTTGTTGAACATAACCATTGTTCGTCTTGTTCTTGTTGTTGGACATAACCATTGTTGGTCTTGTTCTTGTTGTTGAACATAACCATTGTTCGTCTTGTTCTTGTTGTTGGACATAACCATTGTTCGTCTTGTTCTTGTTGTTGGACATAACCATTGTTCGTCTTGTTCTTGTTGTTCGACATAACCATCACTGTTTGTGTCAGTAGTTTGTGTTAATATTTCTCACTCTATCAAATATTAGTTCACTATTTTCTTTCTGACTTCATATATTACGCCTGGTACAGCATACAGCTTATCATGTTTCTTTGAATAATTTGAAGTTTGTCCATCTCTTTCCACAATGATGACTCTGTTTTGTATCCACAGGTTAGTACAATACTGCCATTATGCATTGTTTGTTTACTTTCTGAACAAAGTCGTTTTGGAATAAATGATATATTGTAAAGGCAACTGTACCAACTTTATTCTCACTTTTGATCTAATTTATCTGATGTTATAACCAACCGGCCGTCATGAGTGACTTAAGTGATGGAACCAGTTAATCTAAGAAAGGGGTTTACAACCTGGAGTACGTCATGGGTTTACAACCTGGAGTACGTCATGGGTTTACAACCTGGAGTACGTCATGGGTTTACAACCTGGAGTACGTCATGGGTTTACAACCTGGAGTACGTCATGGGTTTACAACCTGGAGTACGTCATGGGTTTACAACCTGGAGTACGTCATGGTGATTTGATTTTGCCGCTTGCAGCCTACTTTAATCAGGCACCCCACATAATCACCATGAGCGGTAGCGCAAAAGGATTACAGAGTAGGGTTTACAAGGGGTCATAATAATTAACCCCCGTTGTCAGGATATTATGGCACTGAAAGTTACACAGTATTTCATTTACATTATTTGTTTAGCTCTATACATAAAGGGTAACTTATTCACAAATGCGTGAGAACAGGCGTGTGAGGCAGTATGTCTGGCCTCACACTTTGTTATTCACATTTACGTGGGAGGTATTCAAGCACATTGCGTATTTGGTTCTGTACATGAGAATTGATATAGTTACTAAGTGCAAAAAAGTGGATACAATCTTAATATGTCGGCTTTCTTGTCATTAGAGATGAAGTGTTGTGCCATTTCACACACAGTGTGCTTGGACCTGTCCCTAAAAGGTTCTATCTTCACACAGTCGAGGACGTAGTGTTCAAGTGTGTGGCCATATGTATGGCCACACACTTTACATTTAGTTTTGTTTACATCTGCTTGAGAAACATACTGCCAAAGGTACTTATATCCTAACCTTAATCTAGCGGTTACAACATCTCGTAATCTAGTGATCTTGTTACTTGCTCCATATACATGTTTCACTTGATACATCTCATCATGGTAACCTATGGATCGACTAGTGCCTGTTTGCACTTGTCTACTTGCGTCAAACTCATCAATAAATTTCTTCCTAATTACAGTTTTAAGGTTTTTTTTTTTTTTGACAGACCCAAATTGTATTCAACAGTGTCTTTGTTAGGCGGGTTTGGCGAGGGCATCAACTCTGTCATGTTTTATAGGGCCTATGTGAGAGGATCCACAACAGTTTGACCCTGACACCCCCGGTCAACAAGGCACGCATATTTGTGTCTGGCTTCAGAGACAAGAGCGTGACAACCTGTGTCGAGGTGCCAAGGGCAAGTAGTGAGGATAGAGAGTCGGTGATGATGAGACTGTCAGTAACAGTGGTTTCAATGAATTTAATAGCTGTGAGTATGGAACTAATTCAGTTTGTAGAGTGGATGCCCAGTTGTTAATTCTAACTCCTTTCTCAATTATATTACCGTCAGGTTGAGTCACAACAATAGCACTTCCAGCCCTCCACAGGCGGTGTTTAGAATCCATCAGTGTAAGATGGTCTGTGTGATATTATCATCAGTCTGTAGAGTGTGTATGTGTTCAAGAGCTCTCAATTGTCAGTGTGGGAGATAAATGCTTTGTATAATTTAATTTTTTAGGCGGATACGTCGGTATTGTGTTATATCGAAGGGAACTGTCCGCCAGGGTGGCAGGAAGCGCTGTGTGTCTCAACTTTTTGTGCAGGTGGTCTAGGTCCAAACATCTTCATATGTGTGGCTGTAGTTTGGACCATTTAGACTCAGTAGTCCATGGTTCATACATTCTAGCAATTTTAAGGAAACAATGTTATCAGGATCACCACGCAGAAGCCTCAGGACTATCATGAGGTTGACTTCAATTATTCTATCTTTAACACTGGGTATGGCTTACAACCTGGGTTCCTCCATGGAGTTTGCAACCTGAGGTACGTCATGGGGTTTCCAGAAGTGAGTATTTTTCTGCTCAGCTTCAGGCAAGCTTGGTGGTGGAAAATCACATTTCTAAGTTTGTTATATTTTTCTTAAGTTCTGCGTTGGAACTTCATGAAGCAGACGTGACCTGCAACTGACTTGTTACCATCTAGAATATGCATGAAACAATTATGTAAATATAAGAACTGGAGATATATAAACGTTGCTGAATGCAATAAAAGCTTCCACATAGCCTCTCCCCTCCCATGTTCTTCAGCCACAATACCTACCTGCCCGGGCCACTGACGTCCTTGACACACACGACGTAAGCTCGAGAATGGATCACCTGTGACACATGTCAGTGTGTAGCACACTGTCTTAGGTAATATTTGCACACTAAAGCTGGTCGGGTCGGTTACCCTTGTTTCTAGTAACGTTCTTCCTTATTAATAAAACCTAACAGCATTTATTTCCAGCACTTTTTGAGATGAAATACTGAAAATGTGACACATTATTTATTATTACGCATATATATATATATATATATATATATATATATATATATATATATATATATATATATATATATCTGATAAAATCACACGGGAAAAGGGGAAACAACGGGAGCACCTAGATTTATCTTATCTACGTTTACATTGTGATCTACATGAAATATATATATATATATATATATATATATATATATATATATATATATATATATATATATATATATATATATATATATATATAGATAGATAGATAGATAGATAGATAGATAGATAGATAGATAGATAGATAGATAGATATCTTTTATTGCTTGTCACTCCTTCTATAATAACATCTGTACCCATAGTTTAATTCTGATTGTTTTCCTTATTGTCAAAAAACTCGCTTGTGGATTGTATAATTATTAAGGTGTTGACGAGCCCCGAAATACCAGAATGGGCAATGGCTGAGCAGGGCTCCACCTCACACTACGTACAGCCACGCGACAGACACAGTGGCTCCACACTTGTTTTTGGCAGTGAATCAGTGTGTAGAACTTTAATAATATCTCATCGTGAAACCTTCTTTATAAACACTGCTTAACCTCGCCCTCCGACCAACGCCACGTACTCCACCAGTTCTTCAGCTGCCTCGACGCAAGTTCTCTCCAAACTGCTCCTAGCCGCTCTACAGTAGCCTTGCAACCACCCTAGTCCTCCTCTCCCTCTCTACCGACTTCACCATCCATACAACCTCCCCCTCCACATGGCCTCACATAAGACCATTCCCAGCCCTCCCCCTTTCCTTCCACGGCCTCAGGCTCCAAGTAATAGTACGATACACTTCCTCTTGTTTACATACTGGGACAACAGTTATATTATACTGAGGATGATAATTGTCTTTACACCAGTGTCCATATATCTTTCTTAGGTATAATCTTTTCGTTGCCTGTTAGCTACTCCTTAAACACACACACACACACACACACACACACACACACACACACACACACCACTCAATGAATTCATCTACCTGTTGTACGTTAATTATTGCCATTACGTTTATCATTACGGTAAGGAGAAGGAATGAACGGAAGGAACGGCTGAAATGAAAAGAAATGAACGGAGGGACCAGTTAAAAGAGGAATGAACGGAGGAGTGGATAAAAGGAACAAGAATGAACGGAGCGAACAACCACAAGGAGCAGGTATGAAAAGGGAACAACAAAAAGTAACAGGAATGAACTGGGGGAACAACTAAAAGGAGCAGGAATGAACGGAAGGAACGTCTAACAGGAGAAGAAATAAAACGGGGGAACAGCTAAAGGGAACATAATTGAACGGAGGAATGGATAAAAGGAACATGAATGACCGAAGAAACACGTGATAATAAAGAGCGCCGCAGGGAGGGCACAATGATGACGCCAAGAGGCTCGTAATAGAGAGAGAGGCACGAGGAAGGAAACAGAAAAAAATTATATTCTAAAACGTAAACGGAAACTTACACATAAAAGAGACCATAGGAGGAAATAACCAAACAAAAGAGAACAAGGAGAGGGATATGAAGAAAGTAATGAATGATAACAAAGAGAAGAATAAAGAAGACATACAGGAAAGAGAGATAAATATGTTGGAGGAACACAAGAAGGACAGTAGAGGAAAAAGAGAATGAAATGGCAGATAAGGATGACCTGGGACAGAACATGGGTGAAATAGGACGCAAAGTGTGGGAAAACATCGAGCTAAAGACTGAAAGTGACAAAGAAAACGAGAACCTGAAGGAAATCAATAAAGATGGAACATATGAAGAGGAAAACACTAAAGGTGGTACTTACAAAGAGGGAAGACAATAAAGATGACTCGTTAAAGAGGAAGACAATAATAACAACACAGAAGAGAAATGAAGGCAGAAGAGAAGGAGAGGACAGGTTATATATACAGTGAAAAGTAATGATAAGGAAGATGACAGTACATGGTAGGTACACGCGAGGTAAGGTGTGATGGAAGGCAGGTGAAGGCGACCAATACGGAACACAGGGAAGGTGGGACACCGGTTACAGAAGACAGGGACAGGGGTGGGACACAGGTACAGAAGACAGGGACAGGAGTGGGACATGCAGTACAGAAGACAGGGGACAGGGGTGGGACACAGTACAGAAGACAGGGGACAGGGTGGGACACGGTACAGAAGACAGGGACCGGGGTGGGAACACGGTGAACAAGAAGACAGGGACAGGGTGGGACACAGTACAGAGACTGGGGACAGAGGTGGGAGACACAGTTACAGAGACAGGGACAGGAGTGGGGAACGGTACAGAGAGACAGGGACAGGGGTGGGAACACGGGTACAGAGACAGGGACAGGGGTGGGACACGAGTACAGAGACAGGGACAGGGTGGAACACGGTACAGAAGACAGGGACAGGGTGGGACATGAAGTTACAGAAGACAGGGACAGGGTGGGGGACACGGTACAGAGACAGGGACAGGGTGGGACCGGTACAGAGGCAGGGGACAGGGTGGGACACAGTGCAGAGACAGGGACAGGGGTGGGACACGGTGCAGAAGACAGGGACAGGGTGTGGGACACGTTGTAGAGACAGGACAGGATGGGACACGGTACATAAGGCCAGGGACAGGGTGGGACACAGTGCAGAGACAGGGGACAGGTGGGACACGGTACAGAGACAGGGACAGGGATGGGACACGGTTACAGAGACAGGGACAGGGTGGGACACGGTACGCAGAGAGACAGGAACAGGGTGGGACAGGTACAGAAGACAGGGACAGGGTGGGACACGGTACAGAAGACAGGGACAGGGGTGGGACACCGGTAGAGGAACAGGGACAGAGTTGGGACATGGTACAGAGACAGGGACAGGGGTGGGACAGCGGTACAGAGACAGGGACAGGGGTGGGACACGGTACAGAAGACAGGGACAGGGTGGGACACGGTGCAGAGACAGGGACAGGGTGGGACACGGTACAGAAGACAGGGACAGGGTGGGACGGTACAGAGAACAGGGACAGGGGTGGGACTACGGTACAGAAGACAGGGGACAGGGTGGGACACGGTACAGAAGACAGGGGACAGGGTGGGACACGGTTACAGGACGGGGACAGGGTGGGACACGGTACAGAGAGACAGGGACGGGGTGGGACACGGTACAGAAGACAGGGACAGAGATGGGACACGGTACAGAGACAGGGACAGGGGTGGGACACGGTACAGAAGACAGGGACAGGGGTGGGACACGGTACAGAAGACAGGGACGAGGGTGACACGGTACAGAAGACAGGGACAGGGTAGGACCTGGATTACAGAAGACAGGGACAGGGTGGGACCAGGTACAGAGACAGGGACAGGGAGTGGGACACAGTACAGAGACAGGGACAGGGGTGGTGACGGTACAGAGACAGGGACAGATGGGACAGTACCAGAAGACAGGGGACAGAGATTGGGACACGGTACAGAGACAGGGACAGGATGGGACCACAGTACAGAAGACAGGGACAGGGTGGGACTGGTACAGAGACAGGGACAGGGAGTGGGACACGGTACAGAGACAGGGACAGGGTTGGGACACGGTACAGAAGACAGGGACAGGGATTAGGACACGGTACAGAAGACAGGGACAGGGAGTGGGACACGGTACAGAAACAGGGACAGGGTGGGACACAGTGCCAGAAGACAGGGACAGGGGTGGGACACGGTACAGAAGACAGGGACAGGGTGGGACACGGTACAGAAGACAGGGACAGGGTGGGACACGGTACAGAAGACAGGGACAGGGTGGGACACGGTACAGAAGACAGAGGGACAGGGAGTGGGACACGGTACAGAGAGACAGGGTGGAGATTGGGACATGGGTACAGAAGACAGGGACAGGGGTGGGACACGGTACAGAGACAGGGACAGGGTGGGACACGGTGCAGAAGACAGGGACGGGGGTGGGACTACGGTACATAAGGGCAGGGATGGGGTGGGACACGGTACATAAGGCAAGGGACAGGGTGGGACACGGTGGGAACAGGGACGGGGGTGGGACACAGTACACAGAAACAGGGACAGGGTGGGACACGGGTACAGCAGACAGGACGGGGTGGGACACGGTACATAAGGGCAGGACAGGGTGGGACACGGTACAGAAGACAGGGACAGGGGTGGGACACGGTACAGAAACAGGCGGGGTGGGACACAGTGCAGCCAGACAGGTTGAGGTGGGACCCACGGTACTGAGAGGGACAGGGAGGGGGGTGGATGGGGTACAGAGACAGGGACTGGATGGGACACGGTGCAGCATATATGGACTGAGTGGGACACGGTTCAGAGACAGGGGACTGGGTGGGACACGGTACAGAGGGACAGGGGCGGAGTGGGACACGGTACATAAGGCAGGGACAGGGTGGGACACGGTACATAAGGCAAGGACAGGATTGGGACCTCATGGTGCATAAGGCAGGGACAGGATGGGATCTGATTGAAGACAGGACAGGGTGGGACACGGTACAGAAACAGGGGACGGGGGTGGGACACGGTGCAGCAGACAGGGGACAGGGGTGGGACACAGTACAGAGGGACAGGGAGGGAGTGGGACACGGTACAGAAGACAGGGACTGGGTGGGACACGGTACAGAGGGACAGGGACAGGGGTGGGACTGGTACATAAGGCAGGGACAGGGGTGGGACACGGTACAAGAGATGACAGGGACAGGGTGGGACCTGGTACCGAAGACAGGACAGGGGAGTGGGACACGGTGCAGAGGCTGGGACAGGGTGGGACACGAGTACAGAAAGAAACAGGGGACTGGATGGGACACGGTACAAGAGACAGGGACAGGATTTGGTTTACAGGGGACAGGGACAGGGTGGGACAGTACAGAGACAAGGGACAGGGTGGGGACACGTTACAGGCAGAGACAAGGAGACTGCACTAGAAAGGAAGCAGATGAATTAGGTTACAGAAGGTGGGCACGGAAGGAGGACACGGAGGAGACTACAGAGGAGAGGCACAGAGAGGAGGGGCACGGAAGGAGGAGGGCACGGAAGGGGTGGGTGGGTCAATGGTCAGCCTGTGGCCCTGCTGATCTATCACCCTGAGTGACGTGGATCTAATCCGGCCTGACGAACTGACGGCGACCACGCACACCCTCGCCTCCAACCCCCCCACCACCCTTACCTCCACCTCCACTTTCTCCCTTACCTCCACTTTTACCATCTCTCCTACGCCCTCTTCTCTGCCCTCATACCTCCACCTCCTCCTAACCTCAGCATCTTCCGTCTGTGTATCTCCATTTCAAAGACCGTACGTCCTTCCTAACTATTCTCCCATCTCTATCACTTCCCATTTCTGCAGTTAATTTCACTCCCATCTATCACCATTATCATCTCCACCTTCTCCCATTACCACCCACCATCATCTTCCAGCACCACCTACTACCATCTCAACACCACCTACCACATCACCTCCAACACCACCCTACCACCATCACCTCCAACACCCACTACCATCACCTCCAACACCAACTTCTACATCACTTCAGCAACACCCACTACCTACCATCTATGTTCCACCACCTGTCTCCTACCATCTATCCCAGCACCACCGGTAAACTGTAAAGCACGTTTAGCAAATTTGTAAGCATCTGGCCCGTTGGGCCAAACAGCAAGTCAACATCAGGCAGGCAAGTCAGCAGGGTCAAACTGGCAGGGCAGGGGCCTTGGGTTCTA